CCCACAAAGTTCTACTAACTTTTATCTGTAGTAACAGAGGAGCCCTGTAGTAACAGAGGAGCCCCAACTTTTATCTGTAGTAACAAAGTTCTACTAACTTTTATCTGTAGTAACAGAGGAGCCCCACAAAGTTCTACTAACTTTTATATGTAGTAACAGAGGAGCCCCACAAAGTTCTACTAACTTTTATATGTAGTAACAGAGGAGCCCCACAAAGTTCTACTAACTTTTATCTGTAGTAACAGAGGAGCCCCGCAAAATTCTACTAACTTTTATCTGTAGTAACAGAGGAGCCCTACAAAGTTCTACTAACTTTTATATGTAGTAACAGAGGAGCCCTACAAAGTTCTACTAACTTTTATCTGTAGTAACAGAGGAGCCCCACAAAGTTCTACTAACTTTTATATGTAGTAACAGAGGAGCCCCACAAAGTTCTACTAACTTTTATATGTAGTAACAGAGGCGCCCTACAAAGTTCTACTAACTTTTATCTGTAGTAACAGAGGAGCCCCACAAAGTTCTACTAACTTTTATATGTAGTAACAGAGGAGCCCTACAAAGTTCTACTAACTTTTATATGTAGTAACAGAGGAGCCCCACAAAGTTCTACTAACTTTTATCTGTAGTAACAGAGGAGCCCCACAAAGTTCTACTAACTTTTATCTGTAGTAACAGAGGAGCCCCACAAAGTTCTACTAACTTTTATATGTAGTAACAGAGGAGCCCTACAAAGTTCTACTTTTTATTTTATGTAGTAACAGAGGAGCCCTTTTATCTGTAGTAACAAAGTTTCTACTAACTTTTATCTGTAGTAACAGAGGAGCCCTACAAAGTTCTACTAACTTTTATCTGTAGTAACAGAGGAGCCCCACAAAGTTCTACTAACTTTTATATGTAGTAACAGAGGAGCCCTACAAAGTTCTACTAACTTTTATCTGTAGTAACAGAGGAGCCCCACAAAGTTCTACTAACTTTTATATGTAGTAACAGAGGAGCCCCACAAAGTTCTACTAACTTTTATCTGTAGTAACATAGGAGCCCTACAAAGTTCTACTAACTTTTATCTGTAGTAACAGAGGAGCCCCACAAAATTCTACTAATTCTTTTCTTAGCTTGAATTTCATCTTAAAAAATGAAAAAAAAAAAATTATCCGTCTCTGACTAATGTCACAAAGTCGACGGCAGTGAGATATGATCGAGCACTTTAGTATTTAGACCATTTACTAGTTTTTAAGTATGACAACCGTTACCGCTGTTAAGGGTGTCACATAAGGGTGTTAAAATTGGCAGTTACTAAAGGTGTTACATTTGAAACTGGCAGTTACTAAAGGTGTTACATTTGAAATTGACAGTTACTAAGGGTGTTACGTTTGAAATTGACAGTAACTAAGGATATTACATTTGAAATTGACTCCTAAGTCATTTGTCAAACCATTTGACTACAAAATTTCGCAGTAAACCATGACAGTAATTTTGTCAGAACTGATCAGTAACTTTATCTGACTGATAAAGATTTATATAGGGAATAATTTATCCATCATACCATAATATAGTTTTACCTTTCTTTTTTTGATGAAGTATGTATATAGTGACCATACTGTACAGTGGTCAAGTCGAACAAAAAATGGAAAAATAATTTCTTTGATTGAAGACAGAGCTGTAAAATTAATACATAATGTAAATCTATATACATATATCGTGGTTTTATAACCCTTCATTTGCATATTGAATAATTCAATTGATAGCAAAATACTTAAACATGAGATAAACTTGTATAAATAACGAAAAGCTTTGTTCATATTATCCCTGTTCTCATTACATCTTATCATTGTCATGTAAATATAACACAATAAATAACAAAATAAAGCTGTACATACTCTTTTGTTCCGTTATAAATCCAGGGGGCCACAGCTGGAACATTGACTCACAGTTGGAGCAAAGTTTATAATTATGTAGCATTTGTTGACCTACTGAGACTACCATATATATATATTGGTGGGTTTATTTCCAAGCATGGGTTAATTGGTGGATAAATACACATAAGTAACAGATCAGGACAGCTAGTAAAGAGTGCCAGGGGAGTCACAGACAGGAATTTCTAGAGGATATCTAATGGACTCCAACCAAAAATATTACTGCAAGATCTAGAGGACTCCAACTGAAAATATTACTGCAAGATCTAGAGGTTTTGAGATCTAGAGGACTCCAACAGAAATTATGACTGTGAGATCTAGAGGACTCCAACAGAAATTATGACTGTGAGATCTAGAGGACTCCAACAGAAATTATGACTGTGAGATCTAGAGGACTCCAACAGAAATTATGACTGTGAGATCTAGAGGACTCCAACAGAAATTATGACTGTGAGATCTAGAGGACTCCAACAGAAATTATGACTGTGAGATCTAGAGGACTCTAACAGAAATTATGACTGTGAGATCTAGATCTAGAGGTTTCTAATATAAAATGAGACAGAAAGATTTCGTTATAAAAAGTAAAGACCATACAATTTACATCAAAACAGAAAAATATCAAGGAAATATAATTGAAGCATTATTAGCAACCATCATCATGTCACACAATATGAACAGAGCGACTCCAACTAGTGAAATAAATTAACACTGGTAGAACAAGTTATGTTGAGGATAATGAATAAAAACAAAATGAGCAGGGCCTCACATCCTCTCATCTTCTTCTGATCTACATCTATGGAAGGGTTACTCTTTCAGAATACCAGGGAGTAAATCCAATATATAACCTTTTATGTAATATCAGTATGTATTCAAACATTTTAAAATTTTGCAATATCAAATATACATGACAATAAGCCATTTTATGTGTTTTATTATTGATTGTCTGTCTGGTATTATTGGAGGGACATTATCATAGTTGTGATTTTAATGGCGTGTGTTCTGTCTGGTTTTGTCAGAGGGACATTATCATAGTGGTGATTTTAATGGCGTGTGTTCTGTCTGGTATTGTTGGAGGGACATTATCATAGTTGTGATTTTAATGGCGTGTGTTCTGTCTGGTATTGTCAGAGGGACATTATCATAGTGGTGATTTTAATGGCGTGTGTTCTGTCTGGTATTGTTGGAGGGACATTATCATTGTTGTCATTAAAATGGCGTGTGTTCTGTCTGGTATTGTTGGAGGGACATTATCGTAGTTGTCATTAAAATGGCTTGTGTTCTGGTTATGCTGATGGGACTTTCTAAAGCAGATTATCTGTAATCTTAAGATATCACACTGTTATAATGTGAAACCAAACCTTCAGAAAATCAAATCCATGGATGATGCTGTATATGGTAAAATAGATTGTCATATATATAGCTATTAAATGCAATCAGAGCTGTCTTACACACGGTAGAGATATCATACATAAGTTAGAGGTGTCATACACACAACACAGATATCTTACACACATTAATATCTTACACACAATATAGATATCTTACACACATTAATATCTTACACACAACACAGATATCTTACATTAATATCTTACACACAATATAGATATCTTACACACATTAATATCTTACACACAACACAGATATCTTACACACATTAATATCTTACACACAACACAGATATCTTACACACATTAATATCTTACACACAACACAGATATCTTACACACATTAATATCTTAAACACAATATAGATATCTTACACACATTAATATCATACACACAACACAGATATCTTACACACATTAATATCTTACACACAGTATAGATATCTTACACACATTAATATCTTACACACAACACAGATATCTTACACACATTAATATCTTACACACAATATAGATATCTTACACACATTAATATCTTACACACAACACAAATATCTTACACACATTAATATCTTACAAACAACACAGATATCTTACACACATTAATATCTTACACACAACACAGATATCTTACACACATCAATATCTTACACACAATAAAGATATCTTACACACATTAATATCTTACACACAATATAGATATCTTACTCACATTAATATCTTACACACAATATAGATATCTTACACACATTAATATCTTACACACAATATAGATATCTTACACAAGTTAGAGCTGTCTTACCTGTGGTAGAGATATCTTATACATGGTAGAGACATCTAACACATGGTAGACATGTCTAACACATGGTAGAAACATCTAACACATGGTAGAGACATCTAACACATGGTAGAGACATCTAACACATGGTAGACACGTCTAACACATGGTAGACATGTCTAACACATGGTAGAGACATCTAACACATGGTAGACACATCTAACACATGGTAGAGACATCTAACACATGGTAGACACGTCTAATACATGGTAGACACGTCTAACACATGGTAGAGACATCTAACACATGGTAGAGACATCTAACACATGGTAGACACGTCTAACACATGGTAGAGACATCTAACACATGGTAGACACGTCTAACACATGGTAGCTATAAGTAAAAAAAATTTTCATTATCAGTGTTGATGTAGTTATTTCATAATCACAATATCATACAGTATCAAGGTATCATTGTGATACATAACATGGAACTATGTTCTATATATATCTACTTACAACAATAAATACTAGAAAATAGTTAATATGGCGGTTAAATTGTTTCTTACCTGACCACTCACTAGTATGGGTAACTATGACATAAAAAACACATTGTATGTTCTTCATTGCTCGGTCTGTACATTTTTTACAAACACTAACAACATTAATTTTTAAGCTACATTTAGACAAATGCAGTTGAAATAAAAATCCTTGTTTTAAATGGCCTATGAATATTTCACTAAACACAAGGTTTTCTCCCAGTAAAACAAGATACACAAAAATAAAAAGTCTCTTTCATAGCACTGGTACATGTTTCAATCATCTGTTGTCATTGTTGCTACGTTTAACAACCAAATCAAACAGGAGTTGATTAATATGCACAATATATAAAAAGTAGACACCTATGACAGCTTGTCAACATCTACTCTTCCTGTTTACATTTGTCCTTTTTGTGGATAAAGTCACTTTGTAAGAGCCGATAGAAGAGGATGATATTCATGACAGTCATAACAGCAAGTCCGATACTACCGAGGGAGTAGAAAACGAGAGGAATGAAATCTTTGTTAATTAACATCCAGCGACTCATCCAGGCCATCACTGAGATCCTAAACACAATAAATGTACCTGAAAAAAGATAAGTTTCTTTTAACATTTTTCCAAATTTTAAAATGATGTAAAATAAAAGCAGAGCATACAGACAAGTCCAGCTGCAATAAAATAAAGATACTGCACCTGTATGTTAAGTGGAAATATACCCCAAGGCTGTGTTCTTCCCAATGCATAATTAATTGTATAGACAAAACAGGTGCTTGGACATTACAGACTTTACTCTAAACTGCATTGATACAACAACAAATTATTCCAATGTCAGTGGCACATAATAATCAGGCGCCCAAATAAGGCAGTACTTTTGGAAATTGTCATCAGTTAGGTCCACCTACATTATTAACCTTGATGAACAACAACCATGAAAGTCTGTTCTTCTTACCTACATGTATTGTTACCTACATTGCTTATCCAGTATTGGTAGGAATTCCTGAATCAAAACTAAAGGAAAAGCAATTTGAAAGGTTTATATGTATATTTTCCCTATTGGTCCCTGTCTCAAATTGGGACAGAATCCTATCATTTTTACATACAAAGAAGGATTCTAAAGAACTGACTTCTGGTATGGGGCTCTGTCCCAGCTGCCAAATGGGACCAAGACTCACTGAGTACACAAAATTGAGTCCTCTCCAATCAAGGATACTTCTGAAAAATTAGGATAGAATCCTAGCAATCCTACCAAAGAAGAAGGATTTTAAATAATTTCCCCTATTGGGCTCTGCCCTCTTGTCCAAGGGGTTCCCAAGACACACCATTCTTTCAAAACTGTGTCCCCTTCACCAATAAGTGCTTTATACCTAATTAAGATAAAGTCTAGTCATTCTACAAAAGAAGTAAAATTTTGAAGAATTTGCTAAATTTCCCCTTTTGGCTCCAACCCTCAGACCCCATGGGGTCATACCCATTATTCATACGAAATTGAGTAGCCGTCTCTTCAGGATACTTCTGACAAATTTTGTCAAAGTCTGCTTAGTTGTTCACAACTAGTAGTGCTTTTAAGAAACTAAGGGACGACAGATGACAGGCCGTGGTATGGCATAAGCTCATGTTGGTCCTGAACTAAAATAGCGTGTTATAGCAGAGTAACATTGTGAAACCTAACACCAGTATTTCTATTTACCTGTATACATACGTGGATGAATTAACACCTGGGGTTGATGCCTACCTGTGTCTACAGGTATATGTATTCATACAGGTATTTAAAAGTTATACTACATCAGTCTATATACCTCTGTAAGCTATAGAAATAACCAGGTCACCTAATAATAAAGATATTTTCTAATGTGAGGTATTTTTAGTGAAGCCTGTAAGTATTTTTGAAACAATCTCAGTATGATCTGTATTCAAGTCTAATAGTGATAGTAGATTTGACGATAAACAGTGTGTTTCCATGGTCAGGTTCCAGTTATATACATAGGCAGAAGAGAAAGCATTTGTATGTGTTTCCTCAGCGTAGCAGTGATTTGTGTATGTGTGTTCAGGTTTGTGTGTTCTGGTGTCTGCATGAAGAAGAAAGAAAATACAAAAACATAACACAAGAAATGTATTCATAAAACAATTGGTGTCTGGTATATATATCTGAAGGATCTGAAATAATTACCCTGTTTTTTTTTGTCAGGAATTATTTGTGATTTTTAAACCTTGACAATAAATATCAAATGACAGGCAGTCTTTGACCTGTATATATTTAATGTAAACAGTGGTCTGGAAGTTTACAGGTGATCATTTTGGAGCCACCAGCCAATTACTATAGCCCCTTCATAACAACAGGGTGTTTAAATGTCAGCTAATCAATGTGTGTGTGTACATGTCACTTGCCTTAATATTTACAAAGCAACCATCCAACTAGACTGAGATCAATGTACAAATTTTTTCTCCTTATCAACAATTACAAGTCTACATGCTTCCTAAGTCGACTTTGGTTTCTTAAATTTATTTTTCCATTCTTGATCATCATTATCAAGCTAATACAAGATTTAGAATCATGTTTTAAACAGGATGTCAGTTCTTTAGAATTATGACAATAAAAATGTATGTGTACATGTGACAAGAATCGATATACCTGTTATCTTTACTAATTGTCCAATCATGGATACAGTGTCACATGATCTAAGATTTCTTAGGGTCTAGTACAGATGTACTGGGATATCCTAACTACTATCAAAGTCCTCCAGTCACATGTAGGTTATTTTCCACATGTCAGCTATTTTTAAGATATACTAGCAGTCTACTTTAGATAAGTACAGATGTACTGGCACATATTGTTACTAATATCACAGTCCTTCTGTCACATTAAAATTTTGTGGACGAATCTTAACCAAGTGTGGTACTACAAAACAAACTGGGTATGTGATGTCGTAACGTTGATATGAATATGATATGTTAACAGATCACAGTAGTCTGAAGTTTTATTAATAAAAATACATAATTATCACAGTCAAATGGCCTATATACTATAATAAAAACATACCATAGTGGTTTTACATAAATTAATTGACAGAACATCAGACAACTGTGAACAGATCCATCAGATTTATTTCATACATCAAACAGAGGAACATGTTTACCTTTACTGTCATCATTATAAAGTGACAGAATATGATGTACTTACCTAAATTAACAACACTATTAAATCTATAAAAACTGTTGTTTTTGGAGATGCCACATATAAGCATCAATTGTCTGAGATGAAGAAAGATGCTGTTGATTTCAATTAGCAGAGCCACTGTAGCATATCCCACATATATCCTTGTTACTATAGCGATGGTAAAACACACAATTATCTGAAAATGAAAAAAAATATTTTTTAATGGGATGTGATTATTTCACAATCAAAACACAAAGCAGCTGCTGCTACATTCACAATAAGGCAACATGTTTGTATATATATGTAATATCATACCAAAATCTTTGTAAAATAACATTGTCACACCTGTAGATACATTTGTACACAGTTGCGTAATACTAAACTGACACATCAACGTGGTCACACCTGTATATACATTTGTATACAGGTATGTAATCACTGAATAATCACTTTAATAATGCATGCTAACTTGAAACATGTATCTTTTATGATGATTTAAAACACCTTTTCTGTTTTTATTGACATGCTCACATTGTTAAGCTTGTTGTGTTAAAAATAACTGTCATGTCTACCTGTAGATTTCTGTAAGATGTACGTAAAAGCAAGCAATGTGCATTTAATTTCCACCCTTAAAACATGCCAATGACTTTTTGGAATATTTTAATCTAGATTCTGAAAATGATTTTAAATAAATCATGAATGTATACACATATTTAGATAATAAAAATGTGAACAATAGTATCAGGTAATTAATCAAGCACAATTAAAGTTAAATCCTTTCTGGAAAACAGCATGTGGACAGACAAACAGATTAACAATCAGACAGACAAACAATATGTTACACACTTTACATGTTCCTTTTAACATGTGTCTTGTACATGACCAAATTTTGGCAGATAAAAAAAAGTTGACTAAAAATACTCTTCTTGTACACTACATTGGAATTTTCTGGAGAATGAAAATATGTATCTGAGCTCAAAACAAATCTAATCTTAATTCTAAATTATGATCTCCAAAACATATGACACGTATGAGAATGTGAAATTATATATACAGTACAAATAATTATCTGTAAGTGAGTAAATCTGACTTAAAATGATGTTCTGCTTTACTGTGTTGTTCAAATATTAGGTCAATAAACTAAGGAGACCTATGTCCTGTCAATGATCTAGATCAGAGATCACAGTCAAGATTGTGTCACCAGATACACATAACTACATCACCCCAGCCTACAAGTGTAGGAGTAGTGAACACTACACAAGTATGTAGACCACACCCATCACAGAAGTCAAGAACATTTGTATGGTCTGCTGAGTGTACATGAGTAACGGTACATTTATTACATTCCAATAACTTTTATCATTGTGAATTCTTTTCAAAAATACTATGTGTGATATGAATATTGTAAAATGCTTCTGGTGTGAATTATAGATCAGAATATCTACCAAGGTACTTAGATATTACTGTCACTGGTACAGACCATGTGTGCTATAAAATTTGTGTTAGAAATAAATGTTGGTACATTACTGGGACAGCTCTGTATATATATATATATATAAAATCATTCATTTTTATATATATTTACCACAACAATGTACCAGATGTTATCATGGACATGTATGTGAATAATTCTAACAAATAAACCCACAATATTTATTATTACAAATATATGAAATTAACACCAATTTCTAGTATTTTAATAGTTGTCTGGTATATAATTCTGTCAGGTGCTGTATGTAACTCAATAAATGTTATGACGATTCTAATCCAGGGTAGAATTTGACAGTGTGATACTATGGTGTGAATATGACCTAAAACTATTCAGGGTTTCATGAGATATCTTGCAAACAGGTTTTCTATTCCAAAAGTAGTCAAGGGTGACCATTGACCTTGACCAATTCCAATAAAATCTATTGGTGTGTAGACCTTGGTAGGGTGATGTTAAGTTTGAAATATAAATCAAATTTGTTCAGTGATTCATGAAATAACCTGTACACAACATTTTTATTTAAAAGATGATAAAGAATGGCTAAATCTGTCAAAAAGTTCATGAGATATTTTGTATATATGGAACATAAACAAAATGATTAATATATGTCCCACCCCCTCAGTAGGTTATATCATCAGGACCTGAATCAACTGAAGTATTTACCATAATTGACCCCTACAACCATGACAACATCAATAACATGAGAGGATGCCTTATCGCATTCCCTTATTCCCAGGTATCAGTCAGCAAAATATCAAGACTCCTGGTCTTCTGGAACATGTGAGGAAGATCATTCAAGGTTATGACATATCCAATCCCTGTTACCTTGAAACAACATCAAGGTCATTTATATGAGGAAATCTTTTATGGCACTATCCTAGATACCTCAAGAAGATGTATTGAACTAATATGCTGACAGATGTTTAGATGGATAGAAGACGGATCCTTCACCATTCCATAGGCTCATGGGCAATTCATGCAATGTGACCTAAAGATATGCAGATAAATCCTGGTCATGCTATATATCCATGATAAAAAAAGGTTTAAGTGTGGTACTGACAAAGGGAACCAAATGCTGATCATGAACTATCAACAATAGAATCAACAGTTGCATAAGATAATTGACAGGTTTACATTGAATGTTTCAAATGTACTGTAATGACAATAAAAGGAATGTACGGTTTGGAATTTCGAGTATGAACACATGAATGAATAGACTTTGTACCAGTCATACACAAGGGTTTATAATTTTTTACAATTAAACATTCTAAAAGCTTGCAGATTTGATCACCTGGCCCCGTTATACTGGGAATCATTGTTTATGCCGTATACTTAAGAAAATGACAAGCACAATAATCAGCTGTACACATTACAATACAATGTTTATAGAGATCTATATTCTTCTGTAATTCCTCATTAGACTTTACTCCTCCTATGCCCTACTTGTCAATTATTATTCAGGGCTTCTCTCCATATTGACGTAGGTATAAATATGTTTTGTACATATAGTCTTTTAAGACAAGCCAATGTCTTTAATGTTGTAATCAGTAAAATGCTCTGTGCTTGTTCTTGTAAAATAAATGGCTAGAATTCGTTAAGCCAGTATCTATATTGTTACTATGTAACTAGGTGCGATGCAGTATGAGAATACATACCCTGTACCCTTGTTACAACACTTAAAACACTATAACAGTGTCACCATCCCCTTGTTACAACATTTAAAACACTATTACAGTGTCACCATCCCCTTGTTACGACATTTAAAACACTATTACAGTGTCACCATCCCCTTGTTACAATATCATGACACTATGATAGATTTGTCCCATTACTATAACCTAAGGTTGTTACACCAAACAAATAGAATTGAATTATTTTATAGTACTGAAAGGTGAAGATATGTGACTATGTAATGATGTTTTTACTTTCTATGTTAACATTGTTGTTTAGCACAGTCTAGTCTGTGAGGTGTACAACAACGGCCTGGCCACCATATTGCTACATGAAATGTTTGTTACAAATAAACATTGAAGGTCTTGTGATACCTATGTTAATCACTGTTATTACTGCCAATGTTACTGATCAGAAGACATTGTATCATGTAGGTTTCTGATAGTGTATAAGCTACATATGTTTGTGACCATGTTTACAGATTGTTTTAAGGAGGGACAGTTGAGAAACGGTGGTGTCCCAGTTATCTGAGTCCTAGATATCGCATGATATTCCACTTATCTGGGTCACAGGTTCATAGTGTCACTGTATTGAATATACATATCACCCTACACGTTAAAGTCTAAAGGTCCTGGGTTTAGCTCTCACTGATTCCAAACAAATCACATGGGACGTTTAACCTTGATGAAGTCTTCACTATAAACAAATGTGTACTATGATAGTGTATTACTACTGCAGAACATTAGGACACATTTATTCTCTATACATATTTATATGTTTAATTTCTGTCATTTTATCTATCATTCAATGCAGCATACAAGTTCATATATTTCATATACTGAATAACAAAAAATGCTTGAGGATATGATTTTCAGTGGTATATTAAACTAAAGTCATCATTTTAAGATGAAAAACTTTGGTTGAAACTGCTTAACTTTCAGCATTTTATTTTCAAGGATTTTCCACAGTAGCCATGAAAACAATGAAAATTTTCGTCATACAGTATATACGCTACAACATATTGTGCGTATAAATGTAGTTATCCAACATTGCATATCAATGCATATCATGCAGGCGGTAGATGTTTATATAGCCAGGAAAATATGAAGATAATTTAACGTCCAGGAATGTGCAGCATGCATCTACCACCACTGCCACAACTAATAACATCAATATGGATGTGTGGTTTGGTTTATAGTCCTGCAACAACATTAGAATATAATGATCCAGTATCATATAATGGTATATTGTTCTGGTTTATAGTGCTACACAAACATAATTATATTGGTATACAGTGTGTTTTGTCCAGGATCATATACTTGTATTGTGCCTGTTTAAAGTGCAAATTTTGACTCAGGTAACAAGTAGATATTCATATCAAACTGGTACACAGTAAATGCTACTGTAACAAGCAAATTTTAATGTCAAACTGCTTCATAACAGATTGCAGTGTCACAAGTAAATTTTCATGCTGAATCAGTTCATAGTAGACAGTTTTTACATTGAAATCATTTTCAAAGAATCAATTTTTCACAATCTCACTCCATATTCTTGAAAAAAACAAAATTAGAGCCCATCCCGACCTTTACAAAATAACGAGCCTATCTTAACATAAAACATTAAGTTTTATATTGCAGTTAGAGCATCATTATGCATGTATAGCTCTACATGATATGGTTTATGTTAACATACCTATGTATATTGATGTGCCTTTGCTATGTTTTACAATACACATATTGTGGCCATTTTATTAAGGATGGAGAGATGCATGCTATAATCTATTGCTGTAATCTACAGGTGAAGTTGCCTCACCAGCTGAAATTCAATTCTCTTTCCACAATCTTATCTCAAATCATTGGCTTTCAAAGAAAATCTAAATATTCATTTTCAACAACTTGTTTGTGCTACTTGTATGATTCCAGGCTGACTATAATGTTGGACTAGTCATGGTGGATTCTTTTTCACAGATTTTATTTCTATGTACTTCATTAGAGGCTTGTAAACTTTGAACAAATGTGTTACACAAGAAAGCTACAAGTAATATTTCTTACAATATCCGTATAAAACAAAATTTGGATTATTAACCATATTTGACTTCTGCAACCTTGAATATGAGTCGAGGTTATTTTTCCCTCGAATGATGTTGCACTGGAAGATAGTACAGCTAGGTGTCTGACTAAATACATGTATCTATCATCACTCAACACCTTCTGGTTATAAATCAGAAGAAATGTTAAGTGTGGAATACATGTTAGAACATTTCTTACTGCAAACTTTATAGAATTGGATACTAGCTAATATGAGGCATTTCAGGAATATTATTGAGAGGTACCAGCTGGTACTTTGTAATTAGGGTCTGTGAGAGATTGATGGTGAAGATGACAGAGGATAACTTACCACAATATGATGTCCCATCAATTCATATGATTGACGGGTTCTCTGATTAACAAACATGTCCCACATGTCGTAGATGAAATAACCTAAAAATATAAAAAGGACAAAACTTGAATAACTGAAATCATATTCAAAGAATTCAAATTTACCATCTACATCGTAAGGAGTTTCTAGGATACTGTGAACATACTTATTTAAGAGCAATCAAAGGTCAAAGAAAAAAGTGCAATGTTGAATAATAGCATATCTAATAATTATTGTATGAAAACAACATACAGAAACCGCAATTCAAGGGCAATATCTCTTGTGTGAAAGCACTAAAATAAGTTCACTGCTAAAACAGACAATAAGTCCACAACTATAACAGAGAATAAACTCACAGCTAAAACAGAGAATAAGTTCACTGCTAAAACAGAGAATAAGTCCACAGCTACAACAGAGAATAAGTTCACTGCTAAAACAGACAATAAGTCCACTGCTAAAACAGAGAATAAGTCCACAGCTATAACAGAGAATAACCCACAGCTATAACAGAGAATAACCCACAGCTATAACAGAGAATAAACTCGTTGCTAAAACAGAGAATAAACTCACTGCTAAAACAGAGAATAACTCACTGCTATAACAGAGAATAACCCACAGCTATAACAGAGAATAACCCACAGTTATAACAGAGAATAACCCACTGCTATAACAGAGAATAAGTCCACAGCTATAACAGAGAATAAGTTCACTGCTAAAACAGACAATAAGTCCACTGCTAAAACAGAGAATAAGTCCACAGCTATAACAGAGAATAACCCACAGCTATAACAGAGAATAACCCACAGCTATAACAGAGAATAAGTCCACAGCTATAACAGAGAATATCCCACTGCTATAACAGAGAATAAGTCCACTGCTAAAACAGAGAATAAGTCTACAGCTATAACAGAGAATAACCCACAGCTATAACAGAGAATAAGTCCACTGCTAAAACAGAGAATAAGTCCACAGCTATAACAGAGAATAACCCACAGTTATAACAGAGAATAACCCACAGCTATAACAGAGAATAAGTCCACAGCTATAACAGAGAATATCCCACTGCTATAACAGAGAATAAGTCCACTGCTAAAACAGAGAATAAGTCCACAGCTATAACAGAGAATAACCCACAGCAAAAACAGAGAATAAACCCACTGCTAAAACAGAGAATAAGTCCACAGCTATAACAGAGAATAACCCACAGCTATAACAGAGAATAAGTCCACTGCTAAAACAGAGAATAAGTCCACAGCTATAACAGAGAATAACCCACAGCTATAACAGAGAATAAGTCCACTGCTAAAACAGAGAATAAGTCCACAGCTATAACAGAGAATAACCCACAGCTATAACAGAGAATAACCCACAGTTATAACAGAGAATAACCCACAGCTATAACAGAGAATATCCCACTGCTATAACAGAGAATAAGTCCACAGCTATAACAGAGAATAACCCACAGCTATAACAGAGAATAAGTCCACTGCTAAAACAGAGAATAAGTCCACAGCTATAACAGAGAATAACCCACAGCTAAAACAGAGAATAAACTCACTGCTAAAACAGAGAATAAACTCACTGCTAAAACAGAGAATAACCCACTGCTATAGCAGAATATATCCCACTGCTAAAACAGAGAATAATTTCACTGCTAAAACAGAGAAAAAGTGCACAGCTATAACAGAGAAAAAACTCATTGCTAAAACAGAGAATAACCCACAGCTATAACAGAGAATAACCCACAGCTATAACAGAGGATAAAATCACTGCTAAAACAGAGAATAACCCACAGCTATAACAGAGAATAACCCACAGTTATAACAGAGAATAAACTCACTGCTAAAACAGAGAATAACCCATTGCTAAAACAGAGAATAAGTCCACAGCTAAAACAGAGAATAAGTTCACTGCTAAAACAGAGAATAAGTCCACAGCTATAACAGAGAATAACCCACAGCTATAACAGAGAATAACCCACAGCTATAACAGAGAATAAGTCCACAGCTATAACAGAGAATATCCCACTGCTATAACAGAGAATAAGTCCACAGCTATAACAGAGAATAACCTACAGCTATAACAGAGAATAAAATCACAGCTAAAACAGAGAATAAACTCACAGCTAAAACAGAGAATTAGTCCACAGCTATAACAGAGAATCAGTTCACAGCTATAACAGAGAATAAGTTCACTGCTATAACAGAGAATAAGTCCATTCCTAAAACAGAGAATAAACTCACTGCTAAAACAGAGAATGAGTCCACTGCTAAAACAGATAATGAGTTCACTGCTATAACAGAGAATAAACTCACTGCTATAACAGAGAATAACCCACTGCTATAGCAGAAAATATCCCACTGCTAAAACAGAGAATAATTTCACTGCTAAAACAGAGAATAATTTCACTGCTAAAACAGAGAAACATGCACAGCTATAACAGAGAATAACCCACAGCTATAACAGAGAATAAGTCCACTGCTAAAACACAGAATAAACTCACTGCTAAAACAGAGACTAAACTCACTGCTAAAACAGAGAATAAGTCCACTGCTAAAACAGAGAAAAAGTGCACAGCTATAACAGAGAAAAAGTCCACTGCTAAACAGAGAAAAGGTCCACTACTACAACATGTATATTTACAGTATTCATATTCAGCAATAGCTCGATGTTTTACTTTTTTATTTATAGCTTGACACCTTCTGCTTTAATACCTTGTAACTCTAATTCACAGTTAATATTTGTTGTTAAATTGTCCAAACAGCAGTGTGTTATATAAATACACCTTTGCTAGCTGAGGCCATTTGTGAATTAACCTCATTATCCATATTATGACATCACAATCAATTTCAGACCGGCACAGCCAAAGAAAAATGCTCTGGAGTATATTACACTTGTGACTAATAAATGTTATGTGAACATATTTACACAAGACCACATGTTTGATATTGAGATGTTGCTGATCTTGATTAAAATGAAGCTGAATTAACAGTTTTATAAAAAAAACAACTATTTTTTATATCAGTTACATCATGTTAAGAGATTTCACAGGATTCAACTTCTTAAAACAAAAGAGCAGTATGATAAATCAATATCTTTATTACCATTACACCATGCCAAAACAATGTTTTATTTTGTTACTAATCCTTATACACTTCTTAACATACAAACATGTAACCCTGGAAACTACTAGCCATAATATAACATTCAGCTATACAGAGATCATCTGCAAGCTTGATGCATTGAGCATAAGCATATCCAAGTACCATATCCTTACTTCATTATGAAAGACGAAAGTTTATTTAAAAAAAGGTTGCCACAAAAATAACAGAGAATGTCTATTATTCAGGAAAAAATCAGAATAATGTATGGAAATTAATTACTTCCTGTTACACATATTCCGACATCTGTACCAGAAAAAGCAGCAATGTAGCAAACATATTGTTTTTCTTTTGTTTTTAATCTCCTTTCTAAAATCAAACCTTTCAAAAACTCATCATCACAAAAGAAGTTGAATACTGGAAATTTTTTTACTTCTCCGAGGAGTACATCCTTAACAAGAATTTTTAAAGGACAGACAGACACAAGACTGACGAAATGAAGGATGTTTTGAACAACCAACCATCATAAAGCTAAAAAATACAAAAGAACAATGTATATATATATATATATATAGCTAAGGCATTTATTTTTTCTTGATGAAGGGGTTTAGCTGTTGGCATTAACTTCCAACATGTACCCACCCAATCAAGCCTTTCCACCTTCCAAACAGGAAAAAGGATTACCTTCCCTACCTAATCCCTTACAGATTAATTAATGTTGTACTGCACAGGGGTGACCAAGCTAATCCAAATTTCTGACTGTCTGCTACACATCCTTTATAGTAAGCAAAGGGATGCACTTTTACTGCTTCTTTTAAAGTTATTTTAATTTGATATATAATTCAAGTCAGTGACTGATTGATAACTTCAGTTGTTTTGCCTGTCCTTGGTTGCTCCTTTTAAAAGAATCAATGTATCATTAGTTAATTAATAATAGTCCATATGGGAATTCTGATTTATAGAATATATCATTCTGTTAAAGTGTACCTATAAATTATGTGTAATATCTCTCTCCCAACTTGTCTTGTTCTTGCAGCCATACCACTGAAAATTGTCAGAACACTACTTTTTCATCTGTCCAAATTGTTCCATTTCCAGAAACTTAATCTATTATATCTATACCAGAACTTGCTATCTAGTTGTTCAACTACTGACATCTGGAAATATTAATTTCTTCCTTAAAATCGGTACTTTTATCTTATCTAATGTGGAAAAATTTACTGTAGAAAGTAAACATTTAAAATGATAATCTATATACTTGTTACATTTGAACACCATGTTCTGATAGTTATTTTCTTGTTTATTATTATCTATACTTCAAAATCTATTAGCAAATTTTATTACTCACTAATTATATTGATAGTTGCTAGTATTTAGACTGCGTATCGGTATGGATGAGCAATGAATGAACTGTACTTTGACGTTTGACCCCGTGACCTAAGACAGTGCACACACGTGTCTGAGGAAGTAGGTCACAGAAGCTTGTTTACGTAACCATCGACTCACCTACAGAAACGGCTATTAGCGTGTGAGCGAACGTGTCGTAGGTGGAAATTAAGTCTTCCGCCATTTCCGGCTTCACATAAAAGCTGAAAATAAAATTTGAGTTATAAATTCTGACTTTTTCTGATAATTCACGCCGATTTACTAAATCCGACATCAAAAAATGACAAGATGGGCGTAATTTTATTACGCAAGAACAGCAACTTACCAGATACATGCCCACGTTCCACTTAAAACAGAATGAACAAATGAAATGGATATGTTTTTCCATTTCCATGAAGTTTTCTTTCCTAGTCCTGAGGGGGTCAACACTTGGGTGAACAGCGACAAAATGTAAAATATCACAGCCGAAACAGCAACAACACTTAGCCCGTAGGGAGCTCCTCCTAGTTCAGTTGGCCATATTTCCTCAACAATTTTAGTTTCCATAACTGGTGTTTAAAATAAGGCAAAATTGTACAGTTATATCCGCTTCTTCAAACTCGAGCCAGATACATATCTTCACACCGTGTATTTCCGCAGCAGGCAAGACGGTGTGTGAGGTTCGGGAGTCAAACACGCTTGTCGTGGAAATTAAGCACGAGATATTACTGTTATCAGGGTTAAGAGTGTATCTACCGAACCTTCCGCCTGGATGGTGAAACTACAAGTACTTACACGCACAACCACTTGACAAATTACACAACAATCATTACACAGGTTTCCAAATGTTCATATCAAACCAAAATATGAAGAATGAAATATAATATAGTAAAAATAAAGGAAAATGACCGTCTAGCTACACTCCTCGCAGAAGTCTACTTCGGTAATGACACAATAGACTATTGACGATGACGATGGTATGGTGAGTTTGACTTCGACTATATGAGAAATTACTGACAATGGCACTTGGTTGTACTTCGAACTTGTAAACAGATACCTACATCATTATCTGTGTATGTTACAGATAGCGTATTTAATGAAGGAAATGACTTGTGTCATTATATGGAGGTATGAATTGTTCATAAGGAATTCCGAGCTGTTATATATAAAATAACGTGACATATAATCATTAAAAAAAACACAAAATTGACATGTAAAATTATTCAAAGAAAAGAAATTTTAAAATATAAAGTTTACTATAATATGATTTTAACTCTATATGTAAATGAAATCGTGGCTTATGTGAGGGTCTCTTATTGAACATCACAGAAACACCAGATCACACATGGTTCAATGCAATAGATGGGTTTTGGTCAAATAAGAGGTCAAGGCCACGTTGGCCCTTTTCTCACTAGCGACTTCTAAACCTACAAGAAAAAGAAATAAACAGCCCCAAAAACAAACAATCAAGTTTATAACACATTTTCATGCTGGCCTCTAGTTTATCCTTTCTCTAAAATTGTAAAGAGTTGGTTTTTAAAAGTTAAATGACAGGATAGAACGGGAGGGTACATCATGTAAGTCATCGATAGAACTTGATTACACAAATAAACCCGGTCTGAAGTGTAATCTCATACATCAGTCTATCCTTTCTTAAACTAATATTTCTTGGTGAATCTACTCACTGTCATATGTAAACACATTCCGAATAAAGAAATTTCAGCAAAGAATAAGAAAACATTCTGGCAGTGTGTCTTCTTGTATAACTCCTCCGATATTAATCTTATAACTGACTTTGTCTTTAGTATTGTCTAACTGTGTCTTTCCTTATGTCTGACCTTGTTTTTCCCTATACACGACTTTGTCATTCCTTATGTCTGACCTTGTTTTTTCCCTATGCATGACTTTGTCATTCCTTATGTCTGACCTTGTTTTTTCCCTATGCATGACTTTGTCTTCCCCTTTGTCTGACCTTGTTTTTTCCCTATGCATGACTTTGTCTTTCCTTATGTCTGACCTTGTTTTTTCCCTATGCATGATTTTGTCTTCCCCTTTGTCTGACCTTGTTTTTTCCCTATGCATGACTTTGTCTTCCCCTTTATCTGACCTTTTTTTTTCCCTATGCATGACTTTGTCTTCCCCTTTGTCTGATCTTGTTTTTCCCTATGCATGACTTTGTTTTCCCCTTTGTCTGACCTTGTTTTTTCCCTATGCACGACTTTGTCTTCCCCTTTATCTGACCTTGTTTTTTCCCTATGCATGACTTTGTCTTCCCCTTTGTCTGATCTTGTTTTTCCCTATGCATGACTTTGTCTTTCCTTATGTCTGACCTTGTTTTTCCCTATGCATGACTTTGTCTTCCCCTTTGTCTGACCTTGTTTTTTTCCCTATGCATGACTTTGTCTTCCCCTTTGTCTGATCTTGTTTTTCCCTATGCATGACTTTGTCTTTCCTTATGTCTGACCTTGTTTTTCCCTATGCATGACTTTGTCTTTCCTTATGTCTGACCTTGTTTTTCCCTATGCATGACTTTGTCTTCCCTTTTGTCTGACCTTGTTTTTTCCCTATGCATGACTTTGTCTTCCCCTTTATCTGACCTTTTTTTTTTCCCTATGCATGACTTTGTCTTCCCCTTTGTCTGATCTTGTTTTTCCCTATGCATGACTTTGTCTTTCCTTATGTCTGACCTTGTTTTTCCCTATTCATGACTTTGTCTTCCCCTTTGTCTGACCTTGTTTTTTCCCTATGCATGACTTTGTCTTTCCTTGTGTCTGACCTTGTTTTTCCCTATGCATGACTTTGTCTTTCCTTGTGTATGACCTTGTTTTTCCCTATGCATGGCTTTGTCTTCCCCTTTGTCTGACCTTGTTTTTTCCCTATGCATGACTTTGTCTTCCCCTTTGTCTGACCTTGTTTTTCCTCTATTCATGATTTTGTCTTCCCCTTTGTCTGACCTTGTTTTTCCCTATGCACGACTTTGTCTTTCCTTGTGTCTGACCTTGTTTTTTTTCCCTATGCATAACTTTGTCTTCCCCTTTGTCTGATCTTGTTTTTCCCTATGCATGACTTTGTCTTTCCTTATGTCTGACCTTGTTTTTCCCTATTCATGACTTTGTCTTCCCCTTTGTCTGACCTTGTTTTTCCCTATGCATGACTTTGTCTTTCCTTATGTCTGACCTTGTTTTTCCCTATGCATGACTTTGTCTTTCCTTATGTCTGACCTTGTTTTTTCCCTATGCATGACTTTGTCTTTCCTTATGTCTGACCTTGTTTTTTCCCTATTCATGACTTTGTCTTTCCTTATGTCTGACCTTGTTTTTTCCCTATGCATGACTTTGTCTTTCCTTATGTCTGACCTTGTTTTTTCCCTATGCATGACTTTGTCTTTCCTTATGTCTGACCTTGTTTTTCCCTATGCATGACTTTGTCTTTCCTTGTGTCCGAATATGTCTTTCCATGTGTCCGCGACTTCATCACTTTCTATATTTGACTTTGTCTCGCCTTATTTTCGAGTCGTCTCTCCCTTAAAATTGTCGATATATTAGCTAAATATTGTCTCTTTCGTTCGACTTTGTCTCTATCTTTGTCTGGCCATATCTCTGAATATGTCTCTCCTTTTGTCTGCATTGTGTCCGATTGTCTCTAAAATTGTTACTTTTTTCGGCTTATGTTCGACTCTTTCTCTCCTTATGTTCAACAACCAAACAGGTCATCATTGTAGAACTAACAGAACCATGTGAGGAAGAAGACAAATATGTGGGTTTGGTGGATGATTGTCAGCAGAATGGTTGGAAGGTATGGTCCTTCCATGTGGAGGTCAAGTTGTATCAAGATGTATGAAGGTAAATAGTACATTAATTGCAAAAAAAAAAAAAAAAAAACTGTCGATAAAATTTACTGAGATATTTGACCCCTGTGACACTGAATGTGGACAATAGTAACTCATTTGAACAAAATTGCTATTGGTTGTTGACGCCGAACGGACGGACTGACGACGAACGGTCTACGAACCACGGCCGATTCAAGCTCACCTGACGGAAGACGCATAATTGAGTGCTGTATAGAAAAAATGATGATAATAATTGCAGCTGCGAGGGAAATGCCACATGACTACATGTATGATCAGAATTAATTATGATTTCTGCCTGAGACCAAAGCGTTATTTCACGGTTTCTGAGCATCTGTTATAGGATTTTCCTTGTTGTTGACCGATAAATGATGACTATAATAGAATGTTGCTATCCACATCCTTCGATGATGTGTGACATTAAACACAGTTGAACGTGATCATGATACGATTCTCGGCCCCTATTGACTGTCAATGCAAGCTTACAACTATCGCTATGTATAAGTCAAACGAAGGGAAGTAAATCGGGGAGAATGCTACCAGCACAGCTGGTTCAATGATTGGTTTATACACCGAACGGTATTACCTTTAGAGCAGTAATATTATATTAAAGAAAATGCGATTGTTTACATCTTGATGAGGCATTTTATTGCATGTTTTTAACACAATGGGAAAACGTAAAGGTTCTGGAACCGAAGAGGAACTTCTTTCAGGTGAACACAACTATTAAATTATCTTTGCTGTTTTACGTAGGTCGTTGAATTCACGTACGGATTAAATGTATACAGTCACACAACGCGGGGGGAGGGGGGGTCTTGAATAAGTAGTTAGCAAGGCTAAAAGAAAGCCGTATTTCATCGTTCATTTTTGGATAACAGTCCTTAATACCTTTGATCCGATTGTCAAGCAACAGGAGTCGGAGAAATAATAATCTTCTCTACTATGTAAACAACACATTTTGTGTATACTTCATGTTTTGGTTCACGAATAATCAAATCAAATTGTCGGCCAGGAACCACGTGTAGATGTCCACCATTAGGCATAATACACGGAATGCCAAAGACAAATATAACACTCGTCTGCTGAAAGATCAAAATGCCAAAAGACTAACAGCAGAACAAAACCTATTAAAGATAACAAAAAAGGAAACATTTCTGTAGTATATACATCATATATATGTATCGTAGGTGTAGTAGTTTTTACCATCACTTTGCTTTGTAAATTGTGTTGAGTCTGTTATAGTTCTAGAATTCCTTATATTAGGTCCACATGGAAAACATATCAACAAGCCAATTTACAGGTACCTACATGTATGAAAGCTTCCTGTTATAATGATTTTGGGGATGAGGGCGGGGTGGATACTTACACGTAAACAACTTCCCTGAATGTTTTCAATGCTATTTCAGGTGGTTATGTGTACTAAAATACATTAATGTAATCTATTATAATATGGGAACAGCTTGTTTGTTGACAAATGAAATACTTCAATGGTGTGAACTGTTGAACCTGTATGGTGAGCAAATTTATCAATTTTATATAGTCTGCTTTATATCATTAAGAAGATGGTGCTATATTCCTGGACTATCATTCATCATGTACTTTGGCTCATTGCATATATCTGTCATAAGTATGGAGACATGTTATTGTATTAAGTTCAGTGAGGAGATAAATGTATAAATGTTGTATTTTCAGTTTTAGAAGTAATCCAGATATGATTTGTTAGCAATGGTTCAACTGTGAATCTGTTTGTTTTTGAAATTTGTCATTCAACACTTGAAAAAAGACAAAAAGGTTGAAAGGAGAAGGTCAGCTGAATTTTGATGTTGAAACTGAACAGTGCTTTTGAAGGAAAAATACCCCTAAGCCTGGGAAAATGTTTCCTAGTGTAGTGAGTGCACAGTATGTATAATAAGTAAATATGGTAATAGACTAGTCTCTGTATGACAGCAGCGCTAAACTCATCAACACTGAGGCGCAGTGCTATTTAGATGGACCAAGACTTTTATTAAAGAGTCTACATGGATCTTTATCTAATATTTCCAATTTTTTCTTGGTCCAGTTATTCGCTAGGGTCGAGTTAGTACTTTTCTTCTGTCATTGTCACTAAATTGCAATAGAACACTACAGGTACCAGGTGATGATGAGAGCCTATGTTGTTGAAGAATTGTGAAGTGCACTTGAATGTATGAAGAACATAAACAAATTAAAAGAATATCTGCTAGGATTCATTTCATCTTTTCAAAGCTTTAATTCTTATAGGTCATCTGTATACAAAAACAATGCTTTCAGTTGTAGAGATGAGAACATGCTTTATGTGTTAACAGTGGATTCCCCCAGCGGTTCACACAAGAAACATAAGAAACACAAAAAGAAACACAAAAAGAGGAAGGATCATGACATTGACCCCTTTGCATTGGGAGCTCCAGGAGGACTGGCAAAACCTGCTATTAAACTGAAGCTGAAGATTGGAGGGGAGACCTTGGGAACAAAGAAGTAAGAACTTATTTTGATTTATGATTATATATCTATATTCCTCTTCATAAGTAGCTCTTTTAAGAGGATGTTCAATCATATAGAACTCTAATTTATTTACATTATGGTGGGATAATGACTACAGAATTCCTAGGAATCCATCTGTGGAAGACTTAATCAATCAATGATTTAGAAAAATGATAAAGTGTATTATCTATACATAGTTATGTTGTGAATATTTATGTACCATATGCCTTTCAACAGAATGTTATCAAACCAGATGTATATCGTGATTATTTTATTCAGGAAACCGTTCTATGCCCTGTTGAACAGCTATGACAGATACTGTATTGTTTATGAAGTGGTATCAAGGGAGCAGGAAACAGGCCATTTTCCTTTTCCCAGAAGTTAAAAGAGATATTTAGGGACAAATGGGTGGTGAAGATAAACACTTACATGAACTAGATCACATAATTTTGATAGAGAAATTAACATTTTGTCACCAAAAGTTTTCCCTTGATTTGTGCAGTTTCACAAGGTGCCTCATGGTGTTTAATGGTGACAGTAGGGAAATCCCATTTCCTGTAAAGTTGGTTTTTAATTCATTGACACGCCTTTTCAAGACTTGCCAAATAGTATACTCTAATCTAATAAAAAGACTAAAATGTGATATTTGATATAAAGCCCCACATATAGCTGTTAAAAAGAAGTTTATCAGTTTTAGTAAGAATTTACTTTTTGATCAAAGCTTTAAGAAGTAGGTTCCTAAGGGACAATTCAAGTGTCCAATTTAATTGTCCATAGTCATTTTTTTTCAAAGTTGGTTTGATTTAACTAGAGAGAGCACAAGAATTTTATCAGATGAGAAGGTCAGAAATACCTTGATATAGAATCCTCATACAGCTCATACAGAGAAATATATATCATAAATGGGTAGGATGATGTGACATGTAGTAAATTTAATAACATATGAGATCGTGACACACATATAGATATGTTTAGACCCATTAACTAGTCAGGATTACCTCCCATAGAAGTTTTTTCTGCTCTTTTTCAATATTGCACTGATCAGAACTATTTTCCTATGAACCCTGTTATATCCTACACATTAAGCAGATCAAGATTATCTCTCTCCGAAAGGTTTTATACCATGATTCAGTATCACACCAACTAGATCTGTCAGAATAACTTAAAAATCTCTCTATTTCTTTCAACATTTTGCGTGTCAATATTACCTCTTAGAAATTGCTGTACTTGTTTAGCATTAGAACTTTCTGTGCTATGTTCTAGCATCACACCTGTGATACTTGTCAGAATTACCTTCCTTGGAGTATCGTTCTATTGTTTCAGCTTTACACCCGTTAGAACTTTCTGTGCTATGTTCCAGCATCACACCTGTGATACTTGTCAGAATTACCTTCCTTGGAGTATCGCTCTATTGTTTCAGCTTTAAACCCGTTAGAATTGTCTCCGTTAGAACTTTCTGTGCTATGTTCCAGCATCACACCTGTGATACTTGTCAGAATTACCTTCCTTGGAGTATCGCTCTATTGTTTCAGCTTTACACCCGTTAGAATTGCCTCCCTTAGTTTATATACTATGTTTCAGTATTACACCAGTAGACCAGAAAGAGAAGGACAGCTCTGAGGACTCACAAGATCAGATTATAGATGTCCTCAATGACACATGGGGTCAGTATTGTAACCTATCTTGACAAATTCAATACATTTCTGTTCAAGTAATTCTGAACGGACAAGTGTTTGTATACGTATGTATCACTGAGAGAAAGATTTTGCAGTTTTATGGATAATCCAGAGTTGGATGTGACAGATTAAATACATCTACCACGGTATGTAAAATATTCTGTTATGGGTTGTGTTACATTCCTGATGTACCCATGAACACATGAGACAAAGGTAAGTTAGCTGATTCTGCAGGGAAAGAACTGATTAGTACACTGGACTAACTGAAGAATACCATGGTATTTCATTACTCCTGGTTTCTTTTTCACAAATTTTAACTGAAGATATTTCCTTCGAATATTTCAGTCATCTTAAAACATTCTAAAGTGGGTATAAATTACCAACAAATTAAAAGATTTGATGAACTTTCCTGTAATGCTAATGCTAGAATGTAATGACTGTTTTATTTAGGCTCCCCTCCCTCGGCCTCCATTACGGCCACCATAACTTCCTCAACAGTGTCTGATGTTACCCCAGGCCTACCATCAACACTGGCATCTCCAGCACCAGGAGAAAAGAAGGAGGATACGTCTGATGAGGAAAAAGAATGGCTAGAGGCACTAGAACGAGGGGATCTTGATGATTCAGGAATGTTGAAGAAAAGCAAAGATCCAAAATTATTAACAGCCAGACAGGTATATTTGTAAATTTTGTAATGTTATTATAATCTATGCATTTTTCATAACCTGTTTATATGTTGGTACTTCAAAGACTAAAGGTGGTTTGTTTTACTGTGTTTAAGTTCTTGATTAAACAGCCTAAACTCTTAGCTGTATCCAGGTTACAGAATTGTCCCATAGCTGTATCCAGGTTACAGTATTGTCCCATAGCTGTATCCAGATTACAATATTGTCCCATAGATGTATCCAGGTTACAATATTGTCTCCTAGCTGTATCCAGGTTACAATATTGTCCCATAGCTGTATCCATGTTACAGTATTGTCCCATAGCTGTATCCAGGTTACAGTATTGTCCCATAGCTGTATCCAGGTTACAAAATTGTCTCCTAGCTGTAACCAGGTTAAAGTATTGTCCCATAGCTGTATCCAGGTTACAATATTGTCCCATAGCTGTATCCAGGTTACAAAATTGTCTCCTAGCTGTAACCAGGTTAAAGTATTGTCCCATAGCTGTATCCAGGTTACAATATTGTCCAATAGCTGTATCCAGGTTACAGTATTGTCCCATAACTGTATCCAGGTTACAATATTGTCTCCTAGCTGTATCCAGGTTACAGTATTGTCCCATAGCTGTATCCAGGTTACAGTATTGTCTCCTAGCTGTATCCAGGTTACAAAATTGTCTCCTAGCTGTAACCAGGTTAAAGTATTGTCCCATAGCTGTATCCAGGTTACAATATTGTCCCATAGCTGTATCCAGGTTACAGTATTGTCCCATAGCTGTATCCAGGTTACAATATTGTCTCCTAGCTGTATCCAGGTTACCGTATTGTCCCATAGCTGTATCCAGGTTACAAAATTGTCTCCTAGCTGTAACCAGGTTACAGTATTGTCCCATAGCTGTATCCAGGTTACAGTATTGTCCCATAGCTGTATCCAGGTGACAGTTACTTGCAAAATTACCAATGAAATTATACTAATTATTTCATTTCACTAATATCCTGAAAGTGATTTTTTATCTGTTCTCTTGTCTAGTTAATTGCAATTACAACTTCTACATAGTTTGAGTGAAACAAACATGTTAAACATGATATCAGCCTATAGCTGTCATTTAGAGCTAAGAAGGACTGTTAGTGGGATAATGATGTAAAATGTTTACTGACTGTTAGTGGGATAATGATGTAAAATGTTTACTGATCATAGAGCTAAGAAGGACTGTTAGTGGGATAATGATGTAAAATGTTTACTGATCATAGAGCTAAGAAGGACTGTTAGTGGGATAATGATGTAAAATGTTTACTGATCATAGAGCTAAGAAGGACTGTTAGTGGGATAATGATGTAAAATGTTTACTGATCATAGAGCTAAGAAGGACTGTTAGTGGGATAATGATGTAAAATGTTTACTGATCATAGAGCTAAGAAGGACTGTTAGTGGGATAATGATGTAAAATGTTTACTGATCATACAGCTAAGAAGGACTGTTAGTGGGATAATGATGTAAAATGTTTACTGATCATAGAGCTAAGAAGGACTGTTAGTGGGATATTGATGTAAAATGTTTACTGATCATAGAGCTAAGAAGGACTGTTAGTGGGATAATGATGTAAAATGTTTACTGATCATAGAGCTAAGAAGGACTGTTTGTGGGATAATGATGTAAAATTGTCACTGATCATGAGTGTTTCACATTTCAGAGAGCATTAATACATGGCAATAAAGAAGAAGCTTTATTGGAACTACCATCAGGTAAAACGACTGGAGTTAAGCCTCTTAGTTCTCTCTGTTATAATTTCAACAGTTACTCCCCTTACATCTCTTTGGTAAAACATCAACAGTTGCTAACCTTACTTCACCCTGGAAAATACCAACAGTTACTCCCCTTACTTGACTCGGGTTAAACATCAACAGTCATTTCCCATACTTTCCCCAATTAAGACATCTACAATCACTCCTCTTACCTAGCTCTGTTAAAACTTCTACCATTGCCTTTACACACCTCAACAGTTACTCCCTTTACATCTCTTTGGTAAAACATCAACAGTTACTTCCCTTACTTAGCTCATGTAAGACCTCAGCAGATTTTTCCATGTATTTTCCCCAACTATAAGAAATCAAGTTATTCCCTTTACTTTCCCAACTTAAGTTATAAAGTTTACCATTCTTACCTTTTCCTTGGTAAGACATCAGCAATTACTCCCCTTACATACATTACTTGAAGTAAAACCTTAACAGTTACTTCCCATACATATTTAAGGTAAAATATCAACAATATTAAGTATATATATGCCACATATTACAAAGGTATTGTAAAATTTTTATGAAATATATAAATATGAATAAGGAACATGTGATGACTCAATGATTATTGTTTTGGTCACTAGGTTACAAACAGGTGGAACTAACAGAAGAACAGCAACTGAAGCGACAACAGAGAGCTAAGAAACGACGTCAACAGGCCCATGAAAAACGAGAAAAGGATAAGGTATAATGAAACAGTATCTAGACAGTAACAAACTCGATCTTTATATGTAGATATCAAGGAATTTTCTCTCTAATAAACCAAACCTTTTTTCATTAGTTGTGAGAGTAAAACCACCTATTGTTGGTGTGAAGAGCTTGATCAGCAAAGGACAAAATGTATTAAATGTAATAGAATTAATACAATTCTTGTTCTACCATCACAAGAACCAATATTTACAAAACTGGTGAGAACTGGACTGCAAGGTTTACACTGCGGTAGGCGTTTAGATATGCATGTGTTTATGTTTGATTTAATAAAGTGTGTAGGTATTAAATCTTTAAGGATTGACATGCTTAACCTTATTAGTCACAGCTGGGTCAAGGATGTTGATTAATTCTAAAACTATTGTACTTTTCAGAAACTGACACTAGACCGATTTTAGTCACAGCTGGGTCTAAAATGTTGACAAACCTTAAAATTGTTGTAATTTTCAGAAACTGACACTAGACTGATTTTAGTCACAGCTTGGTCTAGAATGATCAATCTTTAAACTATTGTACTTTTCAGAAACTGACACTAGACCGATTTTAGTCGCAGCTTTGTCTAGAATGTTGATTAATCTTAAAAATATTGTACTTTTCAGAAACTGACACTAGACCGATTACTGAAAAAGCAAGAATCCAATAAGAAAAAGGTGAGCTGTTACGTACTGCGTTATATTTTTGTCAAAGTCACTTAAGTATATGAGCTGACTAAGTGTTAACCAACAAATAGAACATCATTTGTACATTTTACATGTCATTTAAACTTCCATGTAATCTGATTTAAACACTTTTATATAAACTACACCCATATGCAGAACTTTATATCAGTGATTGTAATAGATTCAGGCATTGTAATCACACTATTACCTCACAGTCACAGTGTTGAGTATCAGAATATTTTTCAGGTTAATGAAATAGCCATACCTGTTACAGTTATAACAATTCTTTCAATGTTTTTATTTCTTTATTTCCTTTTATCTGTTGCAGACATGTGTTAATGTGATTTTTTTCAAAAAATCTACAGTTTGAAAACAAAATAAATGTTGTGTCAAAACTGAAAAAATTTTCATCAATTTCCTGGAAATCATAAATAAGGCATCTACAGTTATCATTATTTAAACCAAATATAGAAATTACAACTATAGAGGACCAGACAACATCTGTAGGAAGAATGATAAATAGTTACAGAGTGATTTACCATTATTTACAGGGAAAGGGATCTAAGAAGGCAAACATTCCGAGGTTCCGGTATACAAACAACCAATCAGGAGTAGCGATCTCTGTACCAGTTGGATTCCAGCTGCCCTTCACTGCCCAAACTGCCAGGTATGATACGTATAATGAACCCAATTATCTCATACAACAAAATCTGTTGTTATGTTGGTGTTTTCATGTGTTTCATCTTACTTTCAGCCTTAATATGTAAACTTTATGTATTTTACAATAATTGCGAAACAAGTTATTTCAACTTACTAGTATACTAATCACTCTTGTTGGCCCGGATGTAAACCATTATTGTGGGAGAAAACTGAAGTACCTGGGGAAAACCCATGTGGTCTGGCAGGTGACCCCTTACCTTTTCACATCCATTCTGGGAATCGAACCCCAGGCAGCTAGGTGAAAGGTGAGTGTGTTACCACTGCACCACCTGACCACCTTACTTTCAGCCACTTGGAATTGCAGAATGAAATTTTTTCCATTTTTTTTCTGTGTCTAATTTTTCTAATCTATATAAACAGCAATGTTATCAAACTTAATTGTCAAATCAGTAACTTTTAATAGAGAGAATACCAACACTTTCTGAACTCACTAATTAACAATATAAGAAATCTCAGACTTTAACGAATATCATTACTGTATATTAGCAATAATCCTACAAGGTACATCTTGTAGTCATTTTCTGTCCATCATTGCTTACTGAGCAAACTGGATATAATTTTGTTAACTGATAGTAAATTTCTTTTGGTTATATACTTTATTAATATGCAATATTCCAACTTTTATTCCAGACCTCCAAAGGCAAAGGAGCCATGCATTATATCAGGGTGTAAAAACCTGAAGAAGTATTCCTGTTCTCGGACGGGCGTTCCTTTGTGTAGTCTCGCATGTTACAAGAAAAATAGTCTTCTACATAATTTGCCGAGTGTCAGGGCTGCCAGCTGAGGGAAGGATACACAAACAGAACAATCTTCTGGTTTCAAAGCTGTTAATTGGCTTTGAAGGTGCTCCATACAAATCTAAATGTTGGAGAGTTTTCTAGTTGAGATGATATTTTGCAATGTAACAGCTTTGGTGCGAGGGCTGTTTACTGAGGTAATGTTTTGGGAAAACATACAGTCGATGCAGTCGAATTACAGTGTTTCCAGCTAGAAAACACATACAAGAACACCATCCCTTATTAATAAGGTGAAGTTACAGAAGGTGATTACTGGGCCATAGGATCAGTACACCAGGTGTTTTACGTTCACTTCCGATGTCAGACTTTGTTCTCTGATAAAGTGGAGTACCTGATTCTGTTGATAAGGATTTTCTGCCTCAGATTGTTACAGATGTTGAAGAATATTCTGAGATGGGTAACAAGTTTATTAACTACAAATGTTTATTAAAGAATATCACACTTCTTTGAATGAAGCTACTAAAAAATTAATTATTTGTTGTTTGTGATATTTATGATATGTCAAATATATATGATTAGCTCTCACTTGGGTTTAGCTCTCTTGATAACAAAACTGAATATTGCATGGTGGAGTTAGCTCACTGGATGTTCAGCACTGAATATTTTTACATGGAGTTAGCTCTCCGGACTTTAAATTCATAATGGTTTCATATCTTTTGAATTAAATTACTATGATAAGGTAATTGAAATGCTGCAAACTGTACTGTTACTTCTTGGATGCTGTTGGCATTCATAGACAATATGAATACATCTTGACAACAGCAAATTTTATGTAAGGTGCAGCACTTTAAGGACCTTGCGTTTGTATATCTGATGTTGCTAATGAATGTCGACTGAAGGGAAATGGTTCGTTTAAATATGCTGAATATGAATAAAACTAAAATTCATCTGTGTGTTTCCTGCTTCATTGACAATACATGGGAAAGTATAAACTACATGTATATTAAGGATATATACCATGTATACTATATAACGTTTAAAAGGAATCAAATTTTAATAATTTGCAATTTACATAGTTTCAGTTTTAATAGGTCAATGACTTTATTTGTTCAACAAAACTAGAGAAGACAGCAATATGGTTTCTATGGAGATTGCACTTTCCTCAATAATTTTGTCAGCTGACCTAAAGATAGAACCATTCTGACAAATGACCTTCCGACCTGATCAGTGGGTCTAATAGCTATTCCGCTTCACCAATCGCTTCATGTAAATATGTTTGACACTGATGTGAGCTTCCAGTTCTTTAGTAAAGTCAAGTTCCATGAGCTATCATACTCAACACAGAAATGCAATGAATCAACAACAGATATGTTTGTTCAGTATTATATTTGTTTTCCTAGTATCTATGGCTAAAATACCGAACTGTCGTTTTCATATGTCCCGAAACAACCCGAATGAAGTACGGAAACGACCGGACACCATACACAGGCTGAAATGTGTAAACTAGATGAAAGCTACCGACTATCTAAAGAGACGTGTATTATGTTACATGGCAGTTGATAAAATCAGTAATTCTGAAACAGTTGATAAAATCAGTAATTCGGAAACAGTTGATACAGTAATTCTGAAACAGTTGATAAAATCAGTAATTCTGAAACAGTTGATAAAGTCAGTAATTCTAAAACAGTTGACACTAAAACATTGATAAAATCACAGTTGATAAAGTAATTCTAAAACAGTTGATAAAATCAGTAATTCTTAAACAGTTGATACAGTAATTCTGAAACAGTTGATAAAATCAGTAATTCTAAAACAGTTGATAAAATCAGTAATTCTTAAACAGTTGATAAAGTCAGTAATTCTAAAACAGTTGATATTAATTCTTAAACAGTTACATGATAAAATCAGCAAACAGTTGATAAAATCAGTAATTCTGAAACAGTTGATAAAATCAGTAATTCTAAAACAGTTGATAAAATCAGTAATTCTTAAACAGTTGATACAGTAAAACAGTTAAAATCAGTAATTCTTAAACAGTTGATAAAATCAGTTTCTTAAACAGTTGATAAAATCACTTAAACAGTTGATACAGTTCAGTTGAAAACAGTTGATAAAATCAAACAGTTGATAAAATCAGTAATTCTTAAACAGTTGATACAGTAATTCTTAAACAGTTGATACAGTAATTCTGAAACAGTTGATAAAATCACTAATTCTAAAACAGTTGATAAAATCACTAATTCTAAATATTTTTTTGAAAAAAAAAGATCACCAAACTTTTTGGAAATAAGTCCGTTCAAAATGCAAGACAAAGACCACAATTGGAAAAACTGAAAATCAAATGAAAGCTTGGAAAAAATGGATCATTCCTTGAAACAAACAAAAACAAACTGCTAAAATATTGAATATGTTTGTATGTTGAGTATGTTTGTGTTGGACCAAATTTGGAGACATTCCAGTTTTTTGGTACCGAAATCACGAGAAATACCAGATAACTGGAAATAGTTACAGCACATGTCATATCAGCAGTGAAAACTACTCAAACACATCGTCCGGACCACACAATCTACACATGAAATCCATTTGTAACACCAACAGAGAATTAAAAGTACCTCTTTGTACCAGTGATATAATGTCCTGGTGACTTCATGTCAGTAGCAAGATATTTACCAGGAAGCTTCGAACCAATCAGCCCTGCAACATTCCCCCTGTTGACTACAAAGACTACATCACCACCTTGCCAGTGTTATCGTGGCTTTAGAAGTGGGTGGCTGTATATAACAAAATGTACTGAAATCGCAGAAGACTGGTCGGAAACCTTGTAACGTAACAATACAGTCGATGTTATTTGTTCATAGACTGTCAGGAGTCTCCATGTAAATATTTCTTTTCTTCATATTTTGCACTAGTTTTATTGCATTTGAGTTTGGATGATGACTACGTTTGCATGTTGGTGTTTTCATGTTTGTTTGTTTTCCCCGTCGTCGTTAACTACTAGCACTCGGAACCTTTAGAATACAGGCAGAATTCCCTCAAGATAAATCCGAGCTGTACGATACAAGGTCGTTGAAAATGAGAGCCGCTCAGAATACCTTGAAAATGTAATCTACGGGGTCACTCATGGTGGTAGTATTGGACCAGTTCTCTTTACCATTTACATCAGTGACCTACCTTTAGTATCAAACTACACTATCATGTTATCCACAGTAGACTAACCTGTACGCCTAGTCTGTTATAGGGGATGGCCTCGAAAAGCTGAAACCTTTGATGCGGTTTGTAAATGGTCAGATTCCTTGCAGATGATTTCCAAGATGGCAGGCACCAAGTTCAATATACTCTCATACAACGAGATTTCAAAAAGCCCGTCACAATATCCACCGATACAGATCCTACTGTTAGCATGGGTAACAAAAACAGCAAGAAAATAGCAACATATTAATATAATCATGACCTTAGCTCAAATTCAATAAAACTAGGACAAAATAGGGACAAAAGAAGGATTTATACTGAGACTTCTGAAAAAGTACAAGGAGAATGAGACCAGGTGTTCCGGAAGAGTAAGCATCTTCTGCTTCACCGACGACACCCGCCATTTAAAGCTTGGTAAAACCAAGTAGCCTCGGCTTCAATGACGATGTCAACACACCAGTGTGACAAACTCGTCCGAATCTTGGTGTTTTCTAGAATATTTACCTTTGTTGACAGAAACATGAAGTACTATGTATTAACCACGGATGAGACCGTACTTAGAATTTAGATCCAGTTGGTGTTTCCTGTCGCTAAATTACACAAAGGCTGTTACAAAATTGGGGGAGAGATGGACAACGAAGCTCCGAAAATCCAAGAACTTACCACGCTCAAACACCCACGACTAAAAGCAGATATTGCAGGATGGTATAGTACAACAGAGAAAATAAAACTGACTTCACTATTCCAAGTCCCATGAAAATTTCGAATGTAAGAAAGTTTTATGTAATGAGTATTATTATTTTGGCAATTGTTCGCGGAGCTTTGCTACAGTTTTCCAATACGCATGAAAATTTTGAATGTAACGCTTGTGTCTTTTTGGAACAGTGCGACTGACAGCCAACGGTAAAGTACCGCGTGTAATTTAATCAGTAATTGGTCCTAGGTTTAATTTAAACTGTTGAAAATAAAAATGACAGATATGGTTTGAAAGATGACGCGTTCCTGAAATCACTGATATCAGAAGACATGGCGTCTAATTACAACAATAATCTATAGACCTACTTGTGTTTTTATGGATTAGCCGTGACTTTGACCTTGTCAGGTCTCGGGACAAACCGTACACCATGTGATCAGTTAATCCGAAGATCCAGTACACATTTATTACGGTGTTGGTAAATCTACAGTTGATCCGCTTATTCTCTGACTCGTGTTGTCGATATTGTTGAGTAGAAAACACATGGATGTATTGTTTGAATTGGGACGATAATTTATCTCTTCCTGAAACTGGTAATTGTGAGTATCTTTTAATACGGCAGGATTCCGGAAGTACCTACAATAACGAAGGAACTATCGTGACTTTTTCCGAATTGCTGGGTTTGAAGTATGTGAATGGAGTTAACGTATGCTTTGTCGGACCATTGGGTTCATGACCAATGAAGCGATCGGAAATTTTCTACAAAAAATTTATATGAAATACCGGATACCAGATTTCAGTGGTCTCACGAAAAAAAGTAAAGATCTTATTGCCTTACCTACAGTAATTTATGGACATCATTTTCGTGATGGATGTATTCATAAGAACTTCCCAGAATGGTGTACAGGAAAAGATATTGAATGGCGAGTCTGTCTCGTAACTCAGATGACGATATTATAACAAAAAAATGACGTCGATGTCCTAAAACAATATGACGTCACGCCAACAAGGAACCGCAACGCGTGTTTCCGGTGCAGCGAGGTCAACCAAAAATGACCCTAAGTCGTCGACGCGTCAGGGGTCAAAGACTCGGAGTCAGCAAATGACTGGATATCAAACAGGAGGAGACTCGAGGAATCAACAGACACAGCTAAGTCGACAGGGATCACAGGGTGCCACCAGACAGACAGGGCGACAGACGGGCAGACAGACAGGGCAACAGGCGAGTAGGCAAACTGCGGGGACTGTGAAGTCCAACCTGTTGGTCCAGAGTCGGCTTTCAAATCAAATCGTCTTCCGTCATACACCGAGCCAGGCAGACGGATCTGAGGCAAGGAGTTACAGGTCACAGTACGACGATGAAGATGGGGAGTACGGAGAGGGCGAGGAAGGGGAAGAAGAAAACTATGGAGAAGAAGAGGAGGAGGAGGAAGAAGGCAGTGAGGATGTAGAAAGTACGTATATAGAAGACTACTACCCAGAGTACGCCTCGGTAGAGTCAAGGAAAGTCCAAGGTCCGAGGGTCGAAATAACGGACGGTCCTCAACCGTGTCATTGTTTTCCAAAGAAAAGTAACAAAAATGTTCCTTCTATGGTTTATGAAGACATCACGTGCAAACATTCTGGTGTTAGAGGTGAGGCACATGCGGGTGTATTTCGATTTGATTTTAACTGGAACGAGTATATGGAGGAGCCCAAACGTAGAAAACGAAGTCAAGCTCCTCCTAAAACTAACTTTGTGAAAGGTTATCCAAATCCCGAATTCTTAGGAGGTGAGTATGTTGAAGAGGACGAAGAGGAAGATGAGGATGAGGCAGAAGATGAGGATGATGACGATAACAATCAAGAGGAAGAAGAGTTTAACGACGAAGACGATGATTACTCGTATCGCGGTGACGAAGAATTCGAAGGACGATGGGGTAGACAATCCGATGAAGATGACTATTATGATGATGAAGAAGAGGAAGTGGATGAAGAAGAGGCAGAACGACAGAGAGCTTTGGAAGAGGCTATAGCGAAACCTAGTGGAATACGCGCTATTATACCGCTGCCCCAAATAGGGTACTCCCCACCCCCCTCCAGGGAGAGATCTACACCTATGTCCCAACGTTCCGTTCCATATTCATTGCCTCCTTTGCCCGAGAGCCCCTTTATGTCTGCACAAGGCAGACAGACAGCTCAGTCTTATGACTCGAGTGTCGGAAGTCGACTGGACAGCAGAGATTCACGTAAGGGCAGGTTCCGGTTGAAGAATACTATTAATACAGTGCGTCGTTTCCAAGGGCGGATGTACGATCCCGGTAAGTTTGCTGTTTTCGTATGATAGTACTTTCTGAGATGGTAAATTGTACGCGTACATTTATATATATCCAGAGTTGTGGCCCTTTGTCAAATATTTGTAGTGTAACAGATCAGTGCCCTGTTATAAACATCTGCTGTGACAGATCGGTGCCCTGTTATAAATATCTGTGACAGATCAGTGACCTGTTATGAATATCTACTGTGACAGATCAGTGCCCTGTTATATAAATATCTACTGTGACAGATCAGTGCCCTGTTATATAAATATCTACTGTGACAGATCAGTGCCCTGTTATATAAATATCTACTGTGACAGATCAGTGCCCTGTTATAAATATCTACTGTGACAGATCAGTGCCCTGTTATAAATATCTACTGTGACAGATCAGTGTCCTGTTATAAATATCTACAGTGACAGATCAGTGCCCTGTTATATAAATATCTACTGTGACAGATCAGTGCCCTGTTATATAAATATCTACTTTGACAGATCAGTGCCTACAGATCAGTGACCTGTTATATAAATATCTACTGTGACAGATCAGTGACCTGTTATATAATATCTACTGTGACAGATCAGTGCCCTGTTATATAAATATCTACTGTGACAGATCAGTGCTGTTATATAAATATCTACTGTGACAGATCAGTGCCTGTTATATAAATATCTACTGTGACAGATCAGTGCTATATAATATCTACTGTGACAGATCAGTGCCTGTTATATAAATATCTACTGTGACAGATCTGTTATATAAATATCTACTGTGACAGATCAGTGCTATAAATATCTACTGTGACAGATGCTATAAATATCTACTGTGACAGATCAGTGACCTGTTATATAAATATCTACTGTGACAGATCAGTGACCTGTTATATAAATATCTACTGTGACAGATCAGTGCTATAAATATCTACTGTGACAGATCAGTGCTATAAATATCTACTGTGACAGATCAGTGCCCTGTTATAAATATCTACTGTGACAGATCAGTGCCCTGTTATAAATATCTACTGTGACAGATCAGTGCCCTGTATAAATATCTACTGTGACAGATCAGTGCTATATAATATCTACTGACAGACAGATCAGTGATATAAATATCAGTGATATAAATATCTACTGTGACAGATCAGTGCTATAAATATCTACTGTGACAGATCAGTGCTATAAATATCTACTGTGACAGATCAGTGCCCTGTTATATAAATATCTACTGTGACAGATCAGTGCCCTGTTATATAAATATCTACTGTGACAGATCAGTGCCCTGTTATATAAATATCTACTGTGACAGATCAGTGACCTGACCTGTTATATAAATATCTACTGTGACAGATCAGTGCTATAAATATCTACTGTGACAGATCAGTGCCCTGTTATATAAATATCTACTGTGACAGATCAGTGCTATAAATATCTACTGTGACAGATCAGTGACCTGTTATATAAATATCTACTGTGACAGATCAGTGCCCTGTTATATAAATATCTACTGTGACAGATCAGTGCCCTGTTATATAAATATCTACTGTGACAGATCAGTGCTATAAATATCTACTGTGACAGATCAGTGCCCTGTTATATAAATATCTACTGTGACAGATCAGTGCCCTGTTATATAAATATCTACTTTGACAGATCAGTGCCCTGTTATATAAATATCTACTGTGACAGATCAGTGCCCTGTTATATAAATATCTACTGTGACAGATCAGTGCTATAAATATCTACTGTGACAGATCAGTGCCCTGTTATATAAATATCTACTGTGACAGATCAGTGCCCTGTTATATAAATATCTACTGTGACAGATCAGTGCCCTGTTATATAAATATCTACTGTGACAGATCAGTGCCCTGTTATATAAATATCTACTGTGACAGATCAGTGCCCTGTTATATAAATATCTACTGTGACAGATCAGTGACCTGTTATATAAATATCTACTGTGACAGATCAGTGCTATAAATATCTACTGTGACAGATCAGTGACCTGTTATATAAATATCTACTGTGACAGATCAGTGACCTGTTATATAAATATCTACTGTGACAGATCAGTGCTATAAATATCTACTGTGACAGATCAGTGCCCTGTTATATAAATATCTACTGTGACAGATCAGTGCTATAAATATCTACTGTGACAGATCAGTGCTATAAATATCTACAGTGACAAATCAGTGCCCTGTTATAAATATCTACTGTGACAGATCAGTGCCCTGTTATAAATATCTACAGTGACAGATCAGTGCCCTATTATAAATATCTACTGTGACAGATCAGTGACCTGTTATATAAATATCTACTGTGACAGATCAGTGCCCTGTTATAAATATCTACTGTGACAGATCAGTGCTATAAATATCTACTGTGACAGATCAGTGCTATAAATATCTACTGTGACAGATCAGTGCTATAAATATCTACAGTGACAGATCAGTAACCTGTTATATAAATATCTACTGTGACAGATCAGTGACCTGTTATATAAATATCTACTGTGACAGATCAGTGCTATAAATATCTACAGTGACAAATTAGTGCCCTGAGCATGAAAATGATGTGATAAATGCATGCTTATTAAAGCTACATCCGGGAAAGTGTGCCTATATACAAATTGGATAAAACACTACAAATGACTTTATTTATCATCTCAGTGAAACAACACTAAAGCAATCAGAAACAGAAACAATATATAGGAGAAATAATTGACAGAAAGCTTGATTTCGAAACATATTTCACAAGAAATCAAAAGGACAAGATAGCAATTCATTTCAGAATTTGGTCAACGAAACTTTTATCTGGCTATATAAATCGTTGTATCGTTAAAAATGAAGTATAAGCCAGAAAGAAACAGGATAAACACGGATAACACGCTGATTTATTAACTTCAAAGCTTATTTATGAACTGTCGCTACAATTTACCGTAATATTTATAACAAAAATAATATCTGTTGAATCTGACGTAGAGATACTAGATCATGTACCAGAAATATGTCATTAAAAATCTACTGTCGATTCTCATTTTTTTCAACAATACATATTTCATATTCAATTACTTGTCATGAATATATTATTTGATATATTGCAGCTTCCAAAAAAGTCGTGTCGTATGACATAACGCCAGCCTTCAGGGCTAACCTTGACTCATGGCAGGCGCACATTGACAGCGGCGCTTCCACAGTTTCCGGAAGTCGGCTTTCTCTCCAATCCGGAAACCGTCGAAGCACCGTACCCAGTCGTCGGAGCGTGAAAGTCGAAAGTCGCCATACAAACATTCCAGAGGAAGATGATGAAGACGAGGATGATGATGATGATGATGACGAATATGACGAGGATGAAGATGAGGAAGAAGATGAGGACGATGATGATGATGAGGACGACGAAGAAGATTACAGAACAACCCGCTAAATATAGGTATCTAACGTTATCTATAATTATGACGTCAGTGCAAACAGTGCAGTTGAGACTTCTACAATTCGTTTCTATAGCATATGAGACTGATAAAACGTGTCTTAATATTTATTGCTAATTATCACGCCATATTCTTGATGTAAAGAAAACATCTAGAAAATAATTCTAGAAAATAAATCTTTTTTAAGTAGCTTTATCAATTTATCTTTATTTCTCATGGTCTCGGTGGATATAATAAAAATATCTAAGACACGTTGAAATAACGCAACATTAAATGGAAACCCGTGATTTTCTGTATCTATGTTAAAGGGACATAGCGATTAAACATTAATGTTGTTATTGATTGTACTTAACTATGTATTTCCATTTAAGTTTCCATGCTATCCCGATATTTACAGTCAATTTCCAATATCCAGATTGACCCCTTTGGCAGAAATGAAAGCGACAACAGTGACACAGTCAATAAAATCCCGTTTTCCAGTACCGGATTTTGTTATGGGTGTGACAAATGATATTTGATAACTCTAAGGCAATTCAGAATTACACGTTATCATATACGACGCAAAAAATATACATCGATTCAGGCGCGTAACCATGTTTGTTTACAGACGACGGTGTTTGTGCGCATGCGTTATCATGCTTTGATGCAAAAATTATACATCCAGACTGTTGATCAACAGATCAGGGTTTCATTTTCATAACTACTAGTTAACCTCTTTATTTCCATATTTTATTGAATACCAGCTGTCGTTGTTCATAAGGTGAAACATTTGATATAGGAAATAATAAAAATAAGTTTGAAAAAAAAAGTTTTTTCCGTGATGTCGCTTTAAAGGGTTTCCATAATACATAATCGTTCAGCTAATGCGAGTTCCAATTCTCCTTCTCTGTTGATCATTTTTCAAGGATAAAGTGATATAGATATGTTTTCATGGTTATCATTACTTCAGCACCTGTAACATTTATAATTCTTGTTTCTTTGTTCATTTGCAATTCCACGTGTCAGAAATTGTGTTTGATATCGGATCTATAGAGATGTTACTGACAGTATTAATTACACTTGTCTGTAACCCTTATTGTTGCACTCATGGCCTCTATACGTTTCTGTAATACTGTGCTATGGATTTACAAACAAAAAACATCGAGAATACATGTCTTTTGTTATGCTTTATATACATATATTTGTTAATATTTCATCCGAGGATGTTGAAAATCTACGGACATCAAATTTGTTGAAACAATTGATTTCATTAAAAAAGGAATTTAATTAATCATTTTTTATGTATTTTTTTTCATATGATAAATGAGATTGTTCTATAGCGAGGTCTAAAAATGGTGGCCAGAGTTTGGGTCAGTATAGATTAAAACGGATTTTCATATTCTCGTTTATTGTGATGAGATAAAACGAGAATGCAAGGCTGTAGTGTTTTCGCATTGTCGCATTCTCACTCGGGAATGTTGAAAGATACATAGGATTCCAGTATTTTGGTACTACTTTCGTTTTCTCGATTTGTGTAGTTCCATTTAAGTATTGTTATTGTATTTGTGTCTTGGCAGTTATAGAACCACCGGGGTAGAGGAGGGGTTGGAGAACTGGTCTGTTGTATCCTTATACTCGTGTGAAATATCACAAGTTATCGCTTGTAACAGAAACGTTCACTAGCGTTAAGTAAACTTGGGACGAGGAAACAAGAGTATGGAAATTCGGAATTTCAAATTACTTGACAGGAGATTCGTTGAAACACGCGTAACTACTGAACTTACGGGAGTTGTCACCCCTAGCACACTTAACGTCATAAGGCACGATCAGATTCAGCGGTTAGACAATATTATGTTTAAAAGCATTTTAGCGGGACATATTCAGTGTTTTAGGTTGGGTTCCTATATTTGAAATTATCTACAGCCTGTTGCGAAGTCGCCAGGCGAAATGTGTTAAAGACCGACTTGTGTTACATATAATAGACTATAGAGGAGAAGAAAGAAGAACTGTAAACGATATGTTTACTGGAGTTGTGTCGGAGATAATGACGCCCTGCCCTCTCTTTAGATCATGAAATACTTGCTTGTGTTTAAATGTTTTGTCTATATAAATTTTAATTACCGAAGCAGAGGGCACTGTCGGAGGGATACGGCTAGAGATTCTCGGGGATAGAAAACATGCCGGACCTAATTACAGCTATCTCATCAACTCTAGACGACCTTAAACAAATACAGACATGGTGGTCGGGAACATTCACACGTGGGCATCAGAGATAGAGATCTTTTATCGTAATGTATCTTACTTTCTATTTCGAATTACTAGAAGACAGCCACCAGGTGGCAGAAAAGTGTTTTTGATGTATTACAAATTAACAGGGAAAAGCATCAACGAAAAAGGGGCTAATAGTTTATATTTACATGTATTAAAAATGGAAATAACAAGATCCGTTTATGAAACAATATGTCCCCGGTTGCAACAAAATTATGAACTAGGACATTAAAACTGTGCTGTGTAAGACATGTGATGCATGCACACTTTGTGAAACACTCGTCATTGTGGTAATGATATTTTGTTTTTAACCTTCAAATGTAGGTCAAAGGTCACGTTAAAGACCACTTGGTCAAATATTTTGGTAACACAAGAAAGGTCCTGCCTATTGCAATGTAGTGGTTGTTGGCAAGGTTAAAGTTTACAACAGACAAACAAACAACACAAAAACAAGATGCCCCGATCTTTCGATCCAGAGGCATAATAATTACCTACTGCAATTTCGCTTTTCATGAGCAAAACATATTATTCAATGTCACGCGTTCCTCCTTGGAAGCATTCCAACTTGGAATGTATTTTCATCATTATTCAACGCGGAAAAAAGAACACAAGAAAACAGTAAAATGATCTTTGGATTATCAGAATAAATTTGTATATATAACATTTTTATTTCAATGCTTTTCCCTAGGATTCAAAGCGGGGATCTCTGACTTAGTAGTCTGGCTCTCAACCGATCGAGCTGAAAAGAAGTTTTGTCTAGCGATTGGTAATATTGCGGCTAGTATTTCACAGAATTACATACTTACTCTCCAAAAAATAACTCGTTCTTGAGTTTCCAGGGTTTACAGCGCTAGGTATTATTCCAGGGTCTCTACCAGGGCGCCAAAGCAACAGAGGTCATAAGTCATCCCGATGCCTTCGCTAGGATTCGAACCCAGGGCATCTGGCTGAACATATCGAACTAAAGATAAATTCGCTCTGTTGCAGCTATGATTTACCAAGACTCGCGTATTGATACATTGGGTGGTCAGGTGGCACTCGTCCGTCACAGGCTTAAATTTCCCAAGCGAGCGTGAAAAAGGATGTGGTCGCCTGCCCGATCACGTGGGTTACTCCGGTTTCTCCTTACAATAAGAGCCTTCGAGCACTTCCATCCGGACAACTAGAGTAATTAACATAAATTAATATAACTTGTTTCGCAAATGTTGTGAAGTATCATTTTTAATCACAATACAACTCATATGAACGGTAACGTCCCCTATATTTATTAGTATTGTAATATCATTTCGTTATGGAATCAAAATATTAACAGCATCTTAGAGGAAACACTCGCAAGGAGTGTCCCCCGGTGTCATTAGTGTAATAGAGTGTCCCCCAGTGTCAGTAGTCTAACAGAGTGTCCCCCGGTGTCAGTAGTCTAACAGAGTGTCCCCCAGTGTCAGTAGTCTAACAGAGTGTCCCCCAGTGTCAGTAGTCTAACAGAGTGTCCCCCAGTGCCAGTAGTGTAACAGGGTGTCCCCCGGTGTCAGTAGTCTAACAGTGTGTCCCCCAGTGTCAGTAGTGTAACGGTGTGTCCCCCAGTGTCAGTAGTGTAACAGTGTGTCCCCCAGTCTCAGTAGTGTAACAGAGTGTCTCCCAGTGTCAGTAGTCTAACAGTGTGTCCTTCGGTGTCAATAGTGTAACAGAGTGTCCCCCAGTGTCAGTAGTTTAACAGAGTGTCCCCCAGTGTCAGTAGTGTAACAGAGTGTTTCCCAGTGTCAGTAGTGTACCAGAATGTCCCCCAGTGTCAGTAGTGTAATAGTGTGTTCCCCAGTGTCAGTAGTGTAACAGAGTGTCCCCCAGTGTCAGTAATGTAACAGTGTGTCCCCCAGTGTCAGTAGTGTAACAGTGTGTCCCCCAGTCTCAGTAGTGTAACAGAGTGTCTCCCAGTGTCAGTAGTCTAACAGTGTGTCCTTCGGTGTCAATAGTGTAACAGAGTGTCCCCCAGTGTCAGTAGTTTAACAGAGTGTCCCCCAGTGTCAGTAGTGTAACAGAGTGTTTCCCAGTGTCAGTAGTGTACCAGAATGTCCCCCAGTGTCAGTAGTGTAATAGTGTGTTCCCCAGTGTCAGTAGTGTAACAGAGTGTCCCCCAGTGTCAGTAATGTAACAGTGTGTCCCCCAGTGTCAGTAGTGTAACAGAGTGTTTCCCAGTGTCAGTAGTGTACCAGAATGTCCCCCAGTGTCAGTAGTGTAATAGTGTGTTCCCCAGTGTCAGTAGTGTAACAGAGTGTCCCCCAGTGTCAGTAATGTAACAGTGTGTCCCCCAGTGTCAGTAGTGTAACAGAGTGTCTCCCAGTGTCAGTAGTGTAACAGAGTGTCCCCAAGCGTCAGTAGTGTAACAGAGTGTCTCCCAGTGTCAGTAGTGTAACAGAGTGTCCCCAAGCGTCAGTAGTGTAACAGTGTGTCCCCCAGTGTCAGTAGTGTAACAGAGTGTCTCCCAGTGTCAGTAGTGTAACAGAGTGTCTCCCAGTGTCAGTAGTCTAACAGGGTGTCTCCCAGTGCCAGTAGTGTAACATTCTTCATATCTTTGGTGCTGTAATACCTCCAATCGCACGGACGTGTAGACATACATTTGTTTTCCTTAAACCTCTGAAAAGTAGGTATACCTCCTTCCAGAAAGAAGTACAGTAATGCCTTCCTCCGCCCGAATGTATAGTAAAACCCTCTTTATCCCGGATGTATCTATATCTCCGTGGTACCGGAAGTACCG